TGAATCGTCTATCACTTGTCAACGTAATCTCCCTGCAGCTGTACACATTTTTCACAACGTCGACGCCATGATTCCATGGCCACTGCGAACGCTTCTGTAGGAGTCTGTTTTGATCACTGGAAAATCGCTGATGCAATAGCGGCATTACTGGTGAATGTGCAACCACGGGGAGTGTCTTTCATCTTTGGGAAAAGCCAAAAATCGCTAGGAGCCAGGTCAGGTGAGTAGGGAGCATGAGAAACCACTTCAAGGTTGGTTTCATGAAGAAACTGCTGCGTCGCGTACGCCTGATGCCCTGGTGCATTGTCCTGGTGAAAGAGCACACATGCAGCCTTTTCTGGCTGTTTTTCTCGCAGTGCTGGAAGGAGCTTGTTCTTCAAAACATCTTAGTAGGATGCACCTGTCACCGTAGTGCCCTTTGGAATGCAATGAATAAGGATTACGTCATCACTGTCCCAAAACATGGCCACCATCATTTTTTCAGCACTGGTGCTTACCCGAATGTTTTTTGGTGGTGGTGAGTCTGTGTGCTTCCATTGAGCTGACTGGCGCTTCATTTCAGGAATGAAAAACGGCATCCATGTCTCATCCATTGTCACAATTGATGAAAAGAAAGTCCCATTCATGCCTTCATCACGTGTCAACATCACCCGGCAAATTGCCATGCGCGCAGCCTTGTGGTCGTCCGCCAGCATTCGTGGCACCCACCCGGGGGACACTTTCCGCATTTGCAGGTCTTCATGAAGGATTGTCTGCACAGATCCCATGGAAATGCCAACTTTGGAGGCGATGTTTTCCACACTCAATGGCGATCCTCCAAAATAACTTTCTCAACTCGCTCGACCATGCTGTCAGGCCGACTGATGCGAGGCTGAGATTGTTTTGGTTCATTGTCACACGACGTTCGGCCTTCTTTGAACTGTCGCACCCACGAACGCACATTTTTCACATTCATGACACCATCACCACATGTCTCACTTAACTGGCGACGAATTTCAATGGGTGTCGCACCACACAAGTGGAGAAAACGAATGATTACTCGCAGTTCTTGTAACGAAAACGTCGCCATTTTAGGTATCAAAAACACTACTCACTCTCGCCGCCACCACTAAAGTTCTGTGTGGCGTACAGTGTTGCCATCTCTGTCACACATTCACAAAGAGTGCACATGTATTTTAAACTAAACCGCATGTGTCTATCTGCTCCCAGTCCTGAAGAAAAAAATCGGAGACCTTAGAACTTGAACGCCCCTCGTAACATGCTCTTAAACCTTAGTACCTGTAATACTTGAGCTGCTGCTGCTGCAAGGGAATACAAACTATGTTATCCTGCTTGATATCATCCAAATATGAATGTGTTTTGATGATTGGAGCATGTCTATGAGACAGGACGTGTAATACCTATGGCATATATGAATACATGTCACACACGGACAACACCAACACCAGCTAATGAAGAAGCCATAACTGTAGCTGGGGAACAAGAGCCAGGAAGAAGTGCATGTGGTATGGCATGAGAAACGAGAATATCCCAAAAAATGGTCCTTGAAGTACTTCATTATCATCAATTCCAACCATACCACTGAGCATGGAGCACACATCCATTTCCAGATGACTGTACCCTATGGATCAATTTTGCAAATGACTATGACATCAGCAAAATGTGGATGACCTGCTTATAAAAAGCATTCTATGGACAGACAAAGCATATTTTACATGTGAGGGCATGCTCAACACCCACAACAGTCACCTGTGCCACAGGATAATCCTCATGCTGTCTGCAAACATGGGTGAAAAGTCTGCTTCAGTATCAGCATTTGGACTGGAATTGTCAGGGATAATGCTGTGGGCTCCTATCTGACTGGCTGACTACTCAATTAAATTGTGATTTTCTGGAAACTGCTCTACCGGGTTTCAGAGCTGCTTGAAGCTCTAGCTGTGAGGCACTAGTTGTGGTTTCAGCACAACTGAGCACCTGCATACTGTAGGGAAGATGTTCACCATTGGATGAATGCAACATATCCAGCAACATCAACTGGATGTCAGGAGCAACTGCATGATCTCTATAGTCACCAGACCTAATTCCAACAGATTTTTCACTGCGGGGACACCTGTAGGAGCACATTTATGCAGTCCCTCCCAGGACTATTGCAGATTTCATGACAAGATTTCAAGCAGCTGTGACAATGGTCAATGCCAATATTTTAAGGCATGTTCAATAGAATGCTGTGTGGTACTCTGCCATCTGTCTTGAAATTGACAAAAGCTGCTCTGAACAGTTACTGTAACTACAATGTGCCCATGGTTTGATTATGATAGCTTGCACCATTTGACAAGAACATGCATCTTGCAAACCAAACATCACAGGATGTATGTTGCACAATATTTCTTACTTTTTTTTCAATGAGGAATCAGATTATGGGCAGTTGGCATGTGAATTTCATTTCACCCAGTACATACAGTACATTATACTCACTGCTAGATGCAGCATTTTCAAAATTCTCTACAGATGGCATACAAAGGAAATACAGATGTCTGACTTTAAGTTCATAATAGGTGAAAGTATACAGTATGCCCAGCAAGTTTCAATGCATTCAGAAATTTAGTTTGGAAGATATTGTGACGTGTTCCGCAACGTAGGACCCCCTCCCCCTGCCAGCGGTACGTGGCAGCATCGGAACGCTTTCGTTACTATGGTGATAGGAAAGTCAACACCCTGCCCCTCTCCTCGCGGTGACGTAACACGCAACGCGGCTGTGACACGGGTAACAGCCAACAGCTGTACCCATTGCATAACAGGCAGCCACCGCAACTACATAAGAGAATGACACAGCCGCCGACAATAGTTCTCAAGTTAGTTAGCCAGTGGCGAGTTATGAGCTGAATTGAATTGTAACAAGTGAATCGTGACAGAGTGAATTGATTTGTGTGTAGGGTTTGTAAATGGTGTAAACCCATAACGTTGTTATAACTAATTGTAGCCAAGACTGGTAGGTTGTTAAATAAACCAATTAACAATCCGAACAGCGTCTTCAGTAACGAAACACGTTACAATATATATACTTAGAATGTGGTCATGTAAAATGTAAACACTGCACTTTTAGTTGAAGTATGAAAACAACAGAAGCAAGACGAACTTCAGAGGAAATATGCTGAACTATAGCACTCTGTACTGTATGCAGGTAAACAGAGTGATAAAAATAAATAAAACCTTTAAGAAAGGTTAATATATCCTGTAGACTGCATTTTACAGTCTTGAAACATTTCTTTACATAAAGTATGTTCATAATGCAAAGAACTTTATATAATTTCATAATTAATTTCCACTGGAATTCTTGAATTTTCTAGCGTAAAATTCCGAGAAAAACTATAAGCATTATGTGGGTGGATGTTTCAATTACCTTAGTTCCTCTCTCTAACAATTCCCTAGCAAAGGGAAGAATACCAAGAACAATGTCAATCCCACTGTTGTCCACAAAGATGGCAGCACACTTGTGAGGTGGACCCTTCAGGCGATCTATCCATTTGTCCAAACCATCTACCAGCCACGGTCGAGCTGTGAGCACAACATGTATTTTCCATGTAAAATTTCCACAGATGTAATTAGAACTTAATATTTTCCACATAAAAGATATACCTTGTATCTTGCTACGTGCTTCATGGAATCCAAAGTCTGTATTTTCCATAAGATCAGCCACTTCACGTGCCCCCCAGTCAAACATATTTCCTGCCAATATAGATGTGATCAACATTTCTTGCCGAGGAAACCATTCCAAATTATCCAGGTACTCCAGTCTTTTTCCTAACAAACCAAGGGCTTTCTCATTCTCCATCTGCTTTTGCTATAAAATACAGGGAATAATTTTCTACATAAAAATTATGCATTATACATTAAAAGCTCTATCTAGTACTATGAAGTTATCATATTTCTTATTCTACTTAACCTAACTTTGGGAGTCTAGTTTAAAAAGCTTACACACAGCAACAAACATATACTATAATATTTACACCTCACTGCCTCCTACTGATAGCGTAACTAATTAAATTCTATGTAGACTGTCATTTTCAGCAGCTTCCCATCTAGCAAGAGTACATAAACTTCAAAATTATATACTAGCTAATCTACCCAGCAATGCCTCAGCATAATGTGTACATATAATTAGAAAGTATTACGTGCAAAGAAGTTATAATGTTGATCTTGATGATGATAATATCACTGAAGGATCTGAGAGTGTGGTGATGGGGCTGTGACACATCACTGGACCTACTCTTGTTCCATCAAAACATTTAAGAAGCATCTCTTCGCACCTTCTGTAAATTTCCGAAAAGCCTATACTGATGACAAAGGCCAGGGTCACCTGAAAGTGTTACTGAAGGGTAAACATGCCTATGAAGTTGCTGTCCAGTTCAAGTTCAGCTAATGCAGTACAGAGGCAGATGACAAGGCAATGCATCATGATCAGTCGATACAGTCCTCCAGTGGGTCATTTAGCAAGTTAGAGCAGTTTGTCAATTTTCAGTTCAGTTCAGTTCAGCTCAGTTCAGCTCAGTGATAAGAGAGAAGGTGAAAGAAGAGATGAATGCAGTGAGTGAGCAGCATTATGGAGAAATAACGAGTGGACAAACAACTGACCTTACAAGCATATGTGGTTACGGACAGCATAACAATACTTTCTCCAAAGTGTCATAATATAAAGTAACAGAGCTGTAGGAAAATTAAACTACTCCATTACAATTACATATGTCATAATAGTATTCCACATGTTCCATTTCATAATCTGAATGCAGTGTTTCCAACATCACACTCCTGTAACCTTCACTTTTCTATCAATATTTATTCTAATGTTTAAAAATATTAATTCATATGTCCTCAACCACTGTTTATACCAGAATTGGAGTTTCTTATTCAGCAGAATATTAACTGTGGAAGATAGCGGACTATGTTCTAAAGCAAAATATAAATCCATGCCCTTTTGAAAAGTTTTAAAAATTACTGTTTATTTTTGTAAAATTGAATATCTCAAAAACTGTAAGGATAGCCATATCATGTGAGGCATTTGTTTTCTCTGAGCTCTATCAAACACAAAAAAGAAAAAAATCATGATTATGTCAAACAAGCATCCATTACCATACAGTGCAACATTTGACTTTAGTCGATGTGAAGAAATAATATTCTCCTTCCATTGTGTCGTTTAACTTCCTTCTCTGGGCTACGAAAATGCATTTTTACTGCATTTTTTAATATCTGTACCTTAAAGTGGCATTATTTTATGAAAATTGTGAAAAAAAAATATAGAACAAAAATGTCAAGTTTGAATGGTTCTCAAGCAATAAGCAAAAAAAAAAAAAACTTTTTAAAGTAACATGACTTAGAAAAATCTCAAGACATCTAAAGGAAAGGTATGAGTCTCCATGCTATCTGAAAGTCACATGGTGGGATCACACTCCTCCACATACTTTATTTCCAGATTATGAAAATTCTCCAACTAGAGGCACATCATGTAAGAATATGTAAATAATATAACATAACATGTACTTAATAAGAGGGCCATGAAAGGCAATTTTTTTCCTCTAATAATAAGGAAAGAACTATCATTGTTATGACCATGGTTAACAATCTGCAAGTTACTCACCAAAAGATATGGATCAGGAAAATCAAATTCCTTCATACAATGTTCAATTGTGTCCAGTAAGCTCCTCACGGACAAATTACCATAGGCACTACAAAATGAACAGCTCACATTATGATCTAAACAATCACAAAGAAGCTACCTAGCAATATACAATGCTGAAGCAAACTTAAAAATGAATTTGTATGTGAAAGGTACCAATATGCAAAACTGTAAAAGTTTCATGCTGTGGTGAAGTTATATTTCTGTATTACAGTTAAGACTTACAATGGCTGATGTTTGAGGTAATACAGCCTAGATACATATTTTTCCTTGAATTTAGATGCTCTCTCTTTGGCTGTCAGACTATGAGGTTGACTGCTGATGGCTCGGGAAACAAATTTGTCCACAGATTCTTCAAAACATTGGAGCCAGTATTCCCTGAAACAATGAATACTATCCTGACTTACATATTTCACATACTGAATTATATCAGTTTCTCTACAACAGCAATATGAATATGGTATGTTGTATGCCTATAGCAGATTGTTACTCCAAAATTGAACGTCATATTTCTCAAAAGTGGTTCATTATACCAAAATATATAAACACTATAAAACGTTAGTCTGCATGTATTTAATGAATTTTAACTGACTTATTACTCATTTAGTGGTTATGTGACAAGAAAACTTATTTTATTCAGACCTTATGTACATTTCTCTGCAGATTTACAAACTGGAAAAATATTCCAATGTCAAAATTAATTAAATATATTTACTAACAATAAGATTTGTAATTTAAGATCTTAAAGTTTGTGATGATGGTGTATTAACATAAATATTAACTTTTTGGACATTGTCCGCTGTACTGTTTTTTATTTAAAAACAGCGTTTCAGAGATTGGACTGTCTCTGTCCTCATATGAAAGTCCACTCTGTTGGGCTCAATTGATAGAGCTAGTCCGCATCGCCAGGACATGACTTATAAACAAAAAACAGGATGACTGACAATGCCCAAAAAAAGTCAATAATTTTAAGATTACAGTTTCTTTGCATCTTTGTTAACTAGTAACATAAGCTCCATGATTTCAGACAGCAAGCGAACCATACTAACTGAGCAACCACCGCTTGTCAGCGAAGTTTAGTGCCAACTCTTGCAGGAAGAGGGTGTCGTGTGGTCAGTACAATGAATCCCCAGGGCCGTTAATTTCGGTTTTCCAGACCGGAGCCGCTATTTCCTTGAAATAGTTCCTCAATTATCATCATGAGGCTGAGTGGACTGTTCCAGACCCACCACTTCTCTGAAAAATCTGGTAACGCCGGGAATCGAACCCAGACCTCTGGATCTGTAGCCAAGAATGCTGACCACTATACCACAGAGGCGGTCAACTAGTAACATTCAATATATATTTTAAAAAAAACATTCTGGGGAACAGGTTACAAAATAAGTCTTTTATACATTGAACCATACAAAAAATTGCTTAAAATTTTGGTATGAAAATCTAAAGGGAAATGATCGCATGGCATACATATGACACAGACGTGAACACATTAAGATGAATCTTGAGAAATAGGGTGTGCCCACACTGGGATCTAGTGACAAGCTCTTGTTAAAATATTATGGCTCTTCTGCATCCTAAAAGGTGGAATATTTGATACCTGAGAGCCTCTTAGTTTCTCAAAGATTTTTCAGTTACATCTGATTTCAGAATATTGAAACAAGTATATTCTTAAGATTTCCTGAAAGAGGATTCTAAAAAGGACACAACTCTAATGCCAAAATTATTACTTTTATTGTATTTTTATATATTTATGGTTTATTCAATGATGATGTTGATAGCTCAGACAATACAATGTTAAATGGCAAAACAATTACTGAATACACAAATGGAAAAGCTGAGGAAGGACCTGATCAGTCAACCCTAATGTGAGGTATGAACCCAGCAATTGCCTGGAGGAACTGAGGAAAACTATGAAAAACCTCACTCAGGATAGGTGGTGTCCTGGCATTACCATCTGAGTCAACCTGCATGATGTTGCTGCTGAAGATAATTGTTAACAGTGATGGTGGATGTTTTTAGGTCATATTGTTTCTACCTCTCTGAAGAGTCTTATAACTACAACAATGTAAAAGTAAACAAAGTTTTGTTAGGTACCTGGCCTCAGTGTCTTGTGTGAGGTCAA